CTAAAAATGCAGGTGATTCAGTTGCAATTTTGTTCATTGAAGGCCTGATGATCATTTTGCCAAGAGAACAGGCCTTACAAGGAAAATCACTTGATACTGGAACCCTGATATTCTTTAATGGGTGTGCAAGTGAAGTCTTAATGATTTTATGCATCATTACTTGGCCTGGGTGACCTAAACGGTCATGCCACAACATGAATGTTTTCCGATCATCTAACTTTGTGTTAGAAACCAAATTTATTTCGAATGGACTAATATATGTGAAATATAGTCCTGAGGAATATGCTGGCATTTTTTCACAAATATATTTAGTGCCATATTTAGTTGTTGTAAGACAAAGATATTCCTTTTGATTTTCATTCATGGTTTCTATGTGATAACCATTTTGACGCATATCTTTAAAGCTTAATAAATTTCTCCGCGATTTGCTGGAGTATAGAGCGTCATTTATAATAATTTTTGTCCCGTTAGGGAGCATCACATATGCTTTCCCAGAGCCTTCAATGAGCTTCGCAACACCTGATATTGTATTGACTTTAGCTTCAACTAAAGTCATTTGAGAAAAATATATTTTATTTCTCAAAATGGTGTGCGTTGTGGCGCTGTCTATCAGACATAGCTCTTTATCATTTGAATGATCCATATCTTCAATATATATAAATAAACATTAGCTTGATCACAAATTATGCATTTTATTTAACATAAGAGTACATACATTATACATATTTAATTAAAAACAAAATAAAAAGGGGAAGAAAGAAAAAGTACATAAAACTAGTATTGTAGTATTGTACAACATGAGGAGTCTACTATTTTATTTAGTAACATTTTGGTTTATTGTAAAAGCATCGTCCATAATGGCATCATCCGCGAAAAAGTCGGACACGTCAAATTTTGGTAGAGGTGGAGTCGTGTCGTTGACATAATTAGCTTCCATGTTTTTGCCGTTGTTCAAATTCATGGAAGCTTGAAATAATTCCACCAGATGCTTTGCAGTGCGGCATTTGTTAGCCCAATGCCCCGTCATGCCACATTTATAACAAGTCGTCTTTACCGAGGTTTTTGGAGGGCGATTTATTTGATGGTCCTTTTGTTTGCCCTTGCCCTTATAATTTGGTCTATTGACATGTTTATATTCTCGGTGTGACTTGTTTTTATGACCATTAAAATGCCCACGTTTAAAATGCCTTCTACTGCCACTGTATGTTGCATTTGATTCAGTGGCTAAATTATGGCCAGTTGGACCATAAACCGAAGGACTAGAACCAGTGGGTCTCAGATTATGATTTTTCATCAATAGGTCATTATTTTGCTCAGCTACCAATAATACTGATATTAGGTCGGAGTATTTTTTAAAACCCTTTTCTCTATATTGCTGTTGGAGCAGCATGTTAGAGATATGCATAGTAGAAAAGGTTTTCTCCAACATATCAGCATCAGTGACTTTTGGTCCGCATAACTTTAATTTAGATGTTATTTGGAACATAGCAGAATTATAGTCACTGATTGATTTAAAGTCCTGGAATCTTAGATTGATCCAGTCATACTGAGCCTTAGGCAAAAGGACCTTTTGTTGGTGGCCATACCTCTCCTGTAAATTGTCCCATAATTCTTTTGGGTCATCAACCAAAAGATATTCAGATTTGAGACTTTCATGGAGATGGTGACGGAGAAAAATTATAGCTTTCGCTTTATCCTGGGACGATGATTGATTAATAGCCTCAATAGTGTCTTCGAGACCATTAGCCTTCAAATGTGCTAAAGCATCAACTTTCCATTCCAAATATTTTTGACCGGACAAATCAAGAACGTCGAATTCTCTTTTGCTTATGTTTGCCATGATTTACTACAAAATTTATTGATTTAACGTTAATTAGTAAAAGGATATATAAGAACATTAATTGCTTGGTAAAAATTACTATTTGTTTTAATAGAAACAGACTAAACTGAATCATGTTTAAAAAATTGGAGTAATAACTTTTACTTAATGTTATTGACTCTAAAGGCCACTTTTTCCTTTACGTGAGTAGTGGTCAATATAAATATAGATCAAGTAACTTAAGTAGTTTAGTAAAATTGTATTTTACGTTTTTTTTTGATATAAAAACAAAAACAACCGAATATCAATTCTGAGGGTCTAAAACTTGTTATGTGACACGTAATAATGCACTTTATGTTAGTTGTGCTTGTGAACTTGTGGCAGAGAGACCAGACCTATTCTTGCACCTAAAATTGTATTTTAGCTACCCGTGACTTAATTCTTAGAGTACTCTATTACTTTATTTTAAGAGAAATGAAGGGCCGAGTGTGCTGCTCTATTGCTCTAGCTAATGGAGTCCATCCTTTAGTTTATCTTAGTGCTAGTATTTCTTATTCATTGTTCCTCTATTCTTTCTTTTCCATTTCAAGTCATATAATTATTTTATACAATTATTACGTAGCAGTACTTCCTTTTAAAGCTATATTTTGCCTCCGTTTTTGTTCTACGAAGAGCTAATCAAGATTGGAGGACATTTGAAAGGATGGAAACTTCTATTCCAGGTACGTAAATTTTATTTTGGAAACCAATTGTAGTATTATATTTTCAAAAGTATTTTTAGTGACTTGAGAACAATAGTGTAAATAAATAATACAGAGTAATGATGTTCTTACCTGCAGGAAGATGATTAATTGGAGATTTTGAGCTGATTCGTGCTGATAACGTTTTGTGAAATGAAGAAGATGAAGATCAAATTTAAGAGATAGATATATAGATAAAAACTCTAAATTACTTCTTCTTAATATCTGAATATTTTCTGAATTTCTAAGTTTCTAAGTTAATTTACAAAGAATTGAATTAGCCCTATTTATACTAGCCAGACTTGGGGATGAATCATCTAGGAATGATTCTACACAATTTGCTGGCAGTATTAGATCTACCCATCTGTCTAACTATGATTACAAGGATATAAATTAGATGAGTAAGCTTATTAAAAGGATCAGAAGTAGCTTGGTGTCCTAATGACAAGGATGGACATTCACACTTGTCAATTTGGTGATTTTACAACAATCATGTCATTTTCAAAATGAAAACAGCGGTGACAAAAGTGTAAACAATAGGAATTTGTTTGAAAAATAAAGTGATAAATGTCATGATTGTGGAGAAAAAATGCATACCCACATATATATTAAGTGATAAAATTATTTAGGTTTTAACTTAATTAAGTTGCACATTATTTACATATTTAAAGGTTCCGTAGAAAGGTTTACACTTTTCCTTTTTGGACATTCCATATAAAGGTTCTCATTGTTATTTTAGGAAATAATTAACAATCTTCAATGAAAATTTAATCAATAAATATTTAAAATAATACATTTATAAAATTACAGTTAAAACACCAACTCTATTATATTACGTACTATTAAAATTGTTTCTCAAAATATATTCAAATTACTTTATTTAATTATCATCTAAATAACTGTGTTGTTTTGTCATGAGAACATTTCAACTAGGCGGAGGTAGTAAGATTTCATAATCTTAAATAATAAAAATTAAGTGGATACTTTTTAATTTATTTAATTTTTTTTAATGATGTGACATACGTAATTAATTGAGCTACTTTGAAAAGCCAGTGAGTTAAATCATTCGTCGAACTAATCAAGAAATAAAGTTCTTTTATTGTGTTAATAAGATTACATAGAGAGCGTTTTACATTCTAATGTACGAAGTATAATTTTAAATGATAAAAGATCATACGTACTTCATCCCACTCAACTTTACCAAGTTGATGTTAGGTGCGAAATTAGAATAATAAAAATTGTATGATCAAAATTTATACAAATGCGAAACAAACAAATCAATATTCATTGTTTTAAAAAGAAAGTGACATTTTTTTAGATAAACAAAAGAAGAAATTGGTAATGTTCATATGTAATACACAAATAACATACAGAGTAAACATTTAAGTGGTAATAGAGGTTGGAGGCTAAAAAGGTAATCTTTAAATAATCAAAACAACGTTTTCCAAAAGATGAAACATGTAAAAAAGTAGATGAAAGTAAAACTCCGAGCCATACCGATCCGGTTTGATCAAAACCAGAATAATCCGATCCGATTCGGTCTTGGATTGAAATTATTTAGGCTCGGTCTCTGATCCTATAATTTTGGTTATTCGGGTCCGATCTGGTCTTGGATCCGTGCTCACCTCAAGTCGTCATATACATGACTAACTATGGATGTTTTTATTAAACCGACTTTAATTACATACTATCATCTGTTTTTTTAGTTACAACATGTTGAATTTTATATTATTCATGTGCACTACTTTGATTACATTTTATTTATTAATTTATATTTTTTAAAAAAAATTATTGTTCAATTTGTCTAATTACAAACTTTCATTTTTTTTTAATTTTTTTACTATTTGAGAATAAGATACATTGACGGTCAAAGACGTGCGATGATAAATGTGCAAAGTTGACTGTTGCAACTAAAAACGAACGGGAGAGTATTAAACCAGACTAAACTTAAATAGATCAGGTTTAGTAAGTCATGTTGCTTTGTATGAAGTGTCTAACTCTAAGTCTATTCCTAAAGTTCACAATTGGATCTGTAAATTATGTCTGAAGGTTGTCTTATATGTGTTCTCGATTTTAATATAACACCAACTCTTTTATGATAAAAAAGATACTCCCTCCGCCCCCTATAATTGTCCCATTTTTCCATTTTTGAATGTCCCTTTATTATTTTCTCATACCATATTTGGTAACATTTATGTGACTCTAATTCATTCTTACTTTATTTCCACTTTATCAACTCATTACTAACCACATAATTCTACTTTTCTTAAAAACCACAACACTCTCTTCCGTACCAATATTAGGGGGGACGGAGAGAGTAATTAATTTAGTATTTAAGATTGTTAATCATTTTATAAAATGGAAATAATACTCGCTCCATTCCATTTTGATTATTCTCCTCAAATCTAAACCACAAACTTGTACTTTTTGACCACTTTATTGTCAAATTAAAAAAGAACACATAGAGTAGACCTGATAAGGCCCTATCGAACCAAAAAAGTTCAGTGCACACGCGATTTGGAATTTCTTTCTTCTCCGTAATGCGCTAGCAGGGCTAAACGTCTCACGTCAGTTGCTGCTATCACTCCCTGTAGGAAACTGTGGGAGAAGCCTCGAGTGATCCAAATAGAGTTATGGATTCCGTACGAGACGTGGTGTTCAAGAAATCAGAGAGCCTTGACGACACCTGCTCGAAAATCGAGGGCTACGATTTCAATCGCGGCGTTGACTACCCTCAGCTACTGAAGTCGCTGCTTGCCACTGGCTTTCAAGCATCCAACCTCGGAGAAGCCATCCAAATCGTTAATGAAATGGTTTCTTTCATTACTGGGTGCCCCTTTTCAATTTTTTGTCTTAGAATAAGCTTAGGTCAAACCTTATGACATCAAATATTGAAATGTGTATTGTTGACAATTTAGCTTTTTTTTTTTCTCGCAAATCCGGATAGTCTTTTACAATTAAAAGCGTAATGAGCAAAAGAATCCATGCTATATGTTTTCTTTCATTTTCTAAAGTATTTGGAAAGTTGATTTTAAGTTCCTCTGATCATTTATTTATATTTTGCTGATTGTGTGAAGCTTGATTGGAGGCTCTCTCATGAACCTCTAACGGAAGATTGCAACGAGGAGGAGAAAGATCCTGCTTATAGAGAATCTGTGAAGTGCAAAATCTTCTTAGGCTTCACTTCCAACCTTGTTTCTTCTGGTGTTCGAGACACAATCCGTTATCTTGTTCAGCATCACATGGTGAGTGTGGTGCCCAAGTCAAGAGAAGCTACTTGCTTAAGTTTCCATATTTCAGTAACAAAAAATCATCTTCACCAACCACTTGGTAAACACATTTGTCTTTTTCATTTATTCACCATATAATTTTACCACCAACTGATTGTCATTGGTCGGTATGTTTTTGTATCATCCATATACATAAACCTTTCCTTTGTATAAAAAATCAACACATTATGGTTGCAACTAGCTGTGCTTATCCATTCAGGTCTTAAATGATATACTAAATTACTAATCTTGCTGTTGTGCAAATACTTAACTGCCCTTTCCATCTTTTTTACTAAAAAGTTTTTAGTACTATGCAAATGCTTTCACTCACCCTTTCTTCACCTTCTAGAGACTTCCCCAAACATTAAAGCACAATTGTGAGTAACTTTGAGGTCAAAGCTTAAAACTTTAATACCATTCTTTGCTTTTCCGGAACCTTCCGTGCAGGTCGACTTTTAATAGATATGTTGAGCCCGTGCCTGACTGTGACAAATGCTTAAGGAATAAAATTTAAAGAAGAAAAGTAAAACATAAAAAAAATATATATGCAATGGAAATTGTGAACGAATAGCAGTTTCAGGGTTGTGTAAAGTGGCTAGGGCTTGCTGCATATAAAATGAAAAAATAGTTTTATTTATTGAGGGTGATAATACAAATACTTTGTGCTTAAAAGCCTAAAAAGATGTTGATCACATTACCACCTGGAGTAATATTAAGTTGGGAAATTACCCTAAATAGGACTAAATCGTATGTATATCCCGAAATAGGACTATCATGTTTTTATTACCCAAATAAGAGTACTTATTGCCATGTTTTGGCAGTACCATGTAAGTATTTTTCAAGCTTGGCAGTAATTACTTCTATTTAGGGAATAAAAAACATGGCATTCATATTTTGGAATTCTCAAACATTTTTACTCCTATCTCGGGAATCTTCCCTGTTAAGTTCCTCAGGTTCTTTAGTGGTGCTAAATTACTAACAAGATTAATAGCTATTTTCCTTCAACCAATCAGTCCCTTAGGATTCACTGCCTCCCAGGAGTATTGTTTAGAGTTAGTCCAGTAACACTTAAATTGGCTGAATCGGCGGAATGTACTGAAATTGGTGAAGTTATGGTTGAAATGATTGAGTAACCTGACTTAGTTGAATCTGCAATCTGGTGAATTATGCAATAATTATATAGGGAAAAGTATGAACAAGGTACTTGTGGTTGGACTCTTTTTCAGATAGGGTCACGTCACACGTGTTTCATTTTTTATCAAAATGGTTCACGTGTTTGAATTCCGTTATCACAAGTGGGTCACGCCGTTAAAACGCCGGAGGAAGACGGTTAATAGTAACTTCGATTTCCAAAAGTGCCCGGAAAATTAAAAAAAAATATCGGAAGGTTCGTCAAGATGACTTCCAAACCACCTTTGCCTTTGAATTTTTTTGGATCTGTTTGGATTATTTTTTAAAAATAAATTTGCTAATATCACGTTTTCGGTGGATTTTCCGGTGACAATGGTGGCTGGAAACAAAAAGGAAGATGACCCAACGATCGTCTTGTCGAGGCGAACATCCAATTTTTTTCTTTTAATTTTCCGGGCACTTTTGGAAATAAGAGTTACTATTAACCGTCTTCCTCAGGCGTTTTTAACGGTGTGACTCTCTTGTGATAACGAAATTGAAACACGTGAACTACTTTGATAAAAAAATGAAACACATGACCCTACCTGAAAACGGGCCCAATCACAAATACCTTTTCCGTAATTTTTGCAATTATATATAAAATAGTTTGTTAAATAAATTAAAGAGAGTATGAAAAAGGTTAAATTTGTCCTCTTCATCAAAATCAACTAGAAAAGCATTTCCACCTTTACTTTTTTTAGTTATTTCAAATTCAGCCTGTGAAATAAAAAAAATTGTGTGAGGTGGAAAACTATCTGATAATTCAAAAAGGGGTTACCAAATGGGCACTTGCTCTTATACATATGTTATTTGGTTACTCCAATATTATTTAGACTTGAGGCTTTACTCCTTCCCTTCCGGTGTATTAAAAAAATGTCGCGACTCCTTAGAATTGCTCGTTCTATACATATTATATATAGTGCCTAATGTGATAATAATGCATCACCATATCTGATTGCAGGTTGATGTAGTGGTTACAACAGCTGGTGGTATTGAGGAAGACCTTATAAAATGTCTAGCACCAACTTACAAAGGTGATTTTTCTTTGCCTGGAGCTGTACTACGGTCTAAGGGATTGAACCGTATTGGTAACTTGTTGGTTCCCAATGACAATTATTGCAAATTTGAAGACTGGATCATCCCAATTTTAGATCAGATGTACGAAGAGCAAATCAATGAGGTATTACTCTTTCTGTCTTTTATGGTGCACACACATATTATTCAATAAAAGACTCGCGTCTAGTTTGGATCAGTTGTTTTCTTCGCCTAGTTTGGTCTTTTTTAATTTGACACAATAATTTTCTGCTGAGTTTTCTGTTAAGAAAAAATATTGTGCAACTTATTTTATTCACCACCTTCAAACAAGCTGCATCTTGGTGAAGTCCTTACAATATAAATCTTAAATCTTCACCTAATTCCTTCATATTGAGAGCCTTCTTTTCATTTCTTGATATGGGTAAATATGTCATTTTCTTACCTCCTACTGCTGTTTAAGAATTATACACCGCTTATCGATTTGTTGTGCAGGGTGTATTATGGACACCATCTAAAGTTATTTCTCGTTTGGGCAGAGAAATTAATGATGAGAGCTCATATTTATACTGGGCATACAAGGTAACATTTTGAATTTAGTTCTCATATATTCATCGTTTCAACATCTGTTCCTTAATTTGTAACATGGAATTAGAAATCTGCAGCCCTGTACCGGAATGCTCAACTTTGAACTGTTCCTTAGTTTTGGAAAAATGTAGTATTCATAGAATGAGAATGGCTGCACTTGTGTTACAATTTATGTTTTGTTTCAAATTAATATGCTTGATCTGAATATGTATTGTAGTTTAGACGTGATTATTCTGATTTTCTTTGTGTTCTTCAGAACAAAATTCCAGTTTTCTGTCCTAGTTTAACTGACGGCTCTCTAGGAGACATGCTATACTTCCATTCTTTCAAAAAAGAAGATCCTGATAATCCAGATCGAAATCCAGGTCTAATCATTGACATTGTGAGAGGTAATTGAACTGTATGATGATTGCTCAAAAACAGTTCTCATTATTTTTAATATTATGCACTTAAGGAAAAAAATAGATAAGTGATGGGTGGTCTGATGCTAGATATCAGGGCAGTGAATGGTGAGGCTGTTCATGCCGGTTCTAGGAAGACTGGAGTGGTCATCCTTGGTGGAGGAATGCCCAAACATCATATTTGCAATGCCAATATGATGCGAAATGGTGCAGATTTTGCGGTTTACATCAACACAGCCCAGGAGTTTGATGGAAGTGATTCTGGTGCGCGTCCCGATGAAGCTGTGTCGTGGGGAAAGATACGTGGTGGTGCAAAAACTGTCAAGGTTAGCATTAAAGTTTATGTTTCAAAATAATCACTCTGTACCTTTTCTTGAAAAAGATCCTGCATCCATGCACATAAAGATAATCTTATAGCTATATGCCTATATATGCACACAAAATTAAGAAACACTTGTTGACGTAGACATGTAGTTGCATAGTTAAAGAACTGAAATCTTACCTTTATTTCCCATATGCATCTCATTCCTTGCTCCTTCCGTACAAAGAAATGGTGGCTTGTTTTAAAAACAACTATCTTTTTTAAAGTGAGGGGCTAGTTTTCATATAACTTTCTCAAAAAACGCTACAAGTAATTTCAGGCAGGGAAGGAGCATTTTATATGTTACTCAGGTAGTTTGTGGGATATTAGTGTGATGCCGAAATAAATGAATTATGGGCATATATGAAAATGAGAATTGGCGATGTATGAATATATTTGCCTGTGTTGAGGCAGTGTGATAACCAGAAAAATTTATTTAGATGGGCTAGTACAAAGTTTTTTTTCTAATAACTTTTTACAAATTTTTCTACACATGATAAAATCTAGGCATTTCTCAAATTTGGGGTGGGGAGGAGTATTTACAGTGCAGTACTTTAATCAAACTACTAATGAGATTGTTGCACTCCATTGTTTGTCTTTTATGTGTAGGTACATTGTGATGCAACCATTGCTTTTCCCCTTTTGGTGGCTGAGACATTTGCGACCAAAGTCTGAAGTTATTCATTGACAAATGTTGTTGCATACTTGCATTAGTGTCATGACAATTTTCACAGAGAAGGAGCTCGAGATGAGGGGTGGTGCCCCTTCACTCCTCCACTGATTTTTGTGCAATATAATACCCTCTCTTCCAAAAACAACTTCACACTTTGACTATCACACATTTTTAGGTAGATTAAATTTTGGGTTTGACTTACCTAAAATGGCCTCAAGCCTTGCGGCTACAACAAATAAAGGGAAAGGGGGTAATGAAGAGTAATGAGGGGTAAAAAATTTTAAATATGGGCAACCTGTCAAATAGGTCCACGTACTTTTACCAAAAAGTCAATTGAGTTCATGTACTTTTTTCTGAGTCAATTAAGTCCACCAACTATAAAAAACGATCAAAGCAGCTTTTTAGTAGGTAATCAACCGGTTACCCGGTTAAACGCCTACGTGGACGTCCGAGCTGACATTTTTTACTGTTTTCCATTTTTTTTATTTTTGGGGAAACTGTCAAATAGGTCCACGTACTTCTAACAAAAAGTCAATTGAGTCCATGTACTTTTTTTCGAGTCAATTAAGTCCACCAACTATCAAAAAACGACCAACTGGCTTTTTAGTAGGTAATCAATCGGTTACCTGGTTAAATGTCTACGTGGATGTCCGAGTTGGCATTTTTACTGTTTTCCAATTTTTTATTTTCTCCACTCCTCTCTCGTCCGACATAGGGTTGGACTCGGGCGGGGCCAACCGGCCTGGAACCGGACCGGCCTGCTACTGTGTGGGCCTGGACCGGCCCGGTGAACCGGTTGGTTGACCAGTTCAGGCCACCCGGCCCGGTGGGATGGCGGTTCGGGCTCGGGCCCTTTAAAAGGTGAACCGGCCCGGCCGGTTCGAACCATTTTTTTTTTGTTTTTTTTTTAAGTTTTTGAGTTGGGCTGGGTATTTTGGGCCATTTTAGGTGGTTAGGGTTGGTTTGGGGGTGAGGGGGAGGGTTGGGGGTTAACTAGGAAAAGCCAAAAAAAAAATTTGAACTGAGGCCCGGCCTGGACTCGGGGTTACCCGTGCTGGTTCCGGGCCTCCCATACCTTGAACCGAGGCCCGGCCGGTTCAAGGCCCGAACCGAGTCCATCCTTAGTCCGGCAGTCCTCTTCTCCTCCCAGTTCGGGAAAAAATATATACCTACCAAACGTGAATACGTGACCATTTGAGACTACTATATGAGATTGGAAAATTTCAAACTAAATGGACATGTCTTTTACCCATCTACGAGGTTGGTGTGCTCTATATATTTCGAAACATTTGGATGGATCAATTTTTTAAAGATAACACATTATTAATTATGGTAATTCAATGTAAAATCACTTATGTAATAAAAACTAGGAAGTATAAAGGTTTGATCTGCTAATTGTCCGTCTTGTATGTGCGGTCTTTAAATTTTTACGAATTAGACATTATACATACTAGATGAAGAGCCCATGCGATGCATGAGGTATCTAGAATAGAATAAAAATTTATTTGAAATTATATTTTATTATGATGATACATGATGTGTATTTTTATCAAATATAAAAAGATAATAAAGTTTATATGTTGTAGCTTTGCTCATTACGGAACGGAGTATATAATAGTGGCTATATGAAAATAAATTTTGGCTCATACGTAAATTTGCAAGTAAAAATTAAAATACTCTGATAAGATGTAACATTGGAAAATCGTATATGGACTCAATTGACTTTTTGTTAAAAGTACGTGGACCTATTTGACAGTTTTTCCAAAAATAAAAAAAAACGGAAAACAGTAAAAAATGCCAACTCGGACGTCCATGTAGGCGTTTAACCGGGTAACCGGTTGATTACCTACTAAAAAGCTGATTTGGTCATTTTTTATAGTTGGCGGATTTAATTGACTCGGAAAAAAGTACATGAACTCAATTGACTTTTTGGTAAAAGTACGTGGACCTATTTGACAGTTTTCCCTTTAAATATCAATATTACTCAATCCAATCACACTCATTACATATCACATCCAATAATACTACAACATCTTTCTTCATCTAATCTCTTCTAAACACTTTGAACACACTAAAAAGTTCCCTCCAATGTTTCGGCCAAAGTATTTGAATTTCCCTCCAATTACACTCTATTTGTATTTACCCTATCTTTCTTCATTTACCCTCACAACAACAAAAAATGAGCATTAAAGAGCCTTTACTTCCTGCAACTCCTCATGGCAGCCACAACAACACAGCCAACACAACCACAAGTTTCCATTACCTTAAATGCTCCTGCACCAACCAACTTTTACACTCACAGTACTGAAGAAGATCCATATAGAGCTGCCCAGTCCAAGAAATTCATACCTAAAATAATGTTTTTAGCAGTTGTGGGTAGACCAAGGTTTGAGGATGCATGTGATGTCATATGGGATGGGAAAGTAGGTATCTTTCCTTTCACATTTCAAGAGAAAGCAAAGAGATCAAACAAGAACAGAATAGCAGGCACACTAGAGACAAAACCTACATTAAGTGTCACAAGGGCTGTAATGAAAGACATGATATTGCAGCATGTGCTGCCTGCCATCAAATGTAAGTGGCCATACAGTGTTAACAAAAGAGTGATCATTTAGCAGGATAATGCAAGACCACATGTTGATACAAAAGATGAAGATTTTGTAAAAAGTGCAACTAAAAATGGATGGGACATACAATTATAATTTCAACCCCCTAACAATCCTGACCTAAATGTCCTTGACTTGGGTTTCTTTAGGGCCATTGACTCATTAAAGCAACGTCAAGCCCCTAAGTCAATTTCCTAATTAGTAGAAGCTGTGACATCAGCATTTGATGCTCTCACAACCACCACATTACACAGAGTGTTCCCCAGCTTTTAGTTTGTTACCCAAAAATGTGGAAATCAGCCATGACATGTTCAATGAAGCAAAACAAACACTCATTCATATGCAAACAGTTAGGGTACAAGCAGCAGACCGGACCCTTGGAGGTGAGTTCATAAGTGAAGATCAAATAGATCTTCAAGAATGAACTCAGACGCATGGAGGCTAATGTTTTGTATGTACTTCCTTTATAGAGAAGAGCTACATTTTTTGTATGTACTGGCATATGTGCCCATAGTACACGTATTTTTGTAGTTTCTTTCATGCTTGGCATACAAGTATTAAATGTATGACCACAATGATTCAAATGTTGAAGAAACAATTAATGTTTGGCTTATCAATCCATCTAGGCACACATAGGTTGAAAACGAACAACATTTTGATAATACACAGCCATAAAGCATTCTGTGTAGTGAGACTCAATACAGTAAACCCAAATCATATGCTACACACAAACACCAAATGCTTGTGCACACAATGCCCTAAATGGTCTTCAATAGTTTGTACAAGTGGGTGACACAAGGACATAATGAGCCAAATATCCACAAATTCGCAAACTGTCATCATAATGTTTAGATCATACAAGCCCCCATCATCATCAATCACGATACATAGAGTACATATGAATGAGATTAGAAGTACAGTACATACGATTGAGGCACACATAAGAAGTAAACACACACATTCAGTTTGCAAAAGTCAATTATTACAGAGATTGTGTTTTATGAGCGACATCAACATTACAAACAGAGGGGCATAAAGAAAAAGAGATGAGATTAGAAGCCTCCTCTTATTATTGTACTTCACATCTTCAAGTTCTGGTTATTTTTTTTGTTGGATTAGCTTGTGTACATACACACTCAGAGAAAAACAAAGCTCAAAAGGGCAGTCTCCAAAAAATAAAAATAAGAGCAAGATTCATTTTCATTTACCTCAGTGCCGCAAAAGCTCCCACCTACGGTGGGGTAAGGGGGGGTCGGATGTACGCAGTCTTACCCCTGTACAGAGAGACTGTTTCCGGATGACCCATGGAAACAACATTTTCCAAACCCTAACCACAAGATTCTTCCATGGCGGCGGTTCGGGAGGGGGATGTATTGGCAATACTGCATCTTCTTCCTCTCCTTTCTCCTTATTCTAAATATTCTCTGCTATTGAGCAATCGAAAGTGTAGGAGAAACCGCTGTGCAGCCAAGTTCCGTACGGATTAACAATGGACTTCATGATTTCTTGTTGTCGTGTTGAGCAGTTGAAGACGAATCTGCGAACAAAAACAAAGCTCGCGCAATGAGCGAGGCTGAAATTCTCTGGCCGCACAAGCCAAGAACGGCTGGCGAAAAACTAAACCCTACGTGAGGGAAAGGCCGCACAAACGGAAATAACTTTCTCTCCCTATTTAGGGTTGCTTCGTAACCCTATGCGAGCCGCTTTTACTTGTTAACATTAAACCATTTATTCACATGAACAATAAAACTCCAAAGATAACATAATAATCTTTTCCTTTCAAAGACATGATAATAATCTTTGAGATAAGAGTTCAAATTTTATCATTGTCTAGATAATATTTTGTCACATACTCTAAAAGACTTGTCTCAATGATTAATTTCAAATGACATGGTTCTAATAAGATTTATTTTCCTTTTATAGATTATCTAAAAAACATGACCACTTTTCTAAATTGAACTCATTAGCCTTTTATTTTTCCGCTATCATTTTATTGATTATTTTATCTTTTATTTTTCTTACGGAGTACTATTTAGATATTAGAATTTTAAAACAACCACACTATTTTTTACTTTCTTAAAACCCGCTCCATAGTCCATACCTCCCACATTGTATCTAACTTTCTTCGGCACATTCATTAATATTAATATACACGCACACACATGTGTGTGTGTGGAGTATATTTTATCCACATTTAGATGCATGTTACGACATTCCGTTAAAAAGTGAGGTTACTGTACTTATACACATATGATTGATCCACATCATTATTTGATCGTTTAGTCATATTTTAAATGTTTTATTATAATATTTTAATTGGTTCATATGAATAAGATACAGTAGTTTAAGGTACTATAGAATAAGTTTAGACTCTAAGGCTAACCGCAACCCAACCAGTCAATAAATCTAATCTAACACCAGTTTATACGTATTCACTCAGTCAATCCAGTTTTTTTTCTCTGCAACCCAGCATCGTCAATGTATTCACTCAACACATTCTTCTTTTAGTTAAATCCTTACTTTTATTATTATACATAATTTTTTTCGCAAATTATATTTTTGCAAATAATTATGATTTAAAATATCAAACATTCTGATGTAAAAAAAAATAAATTTGGAGTGGAATTTTTAACTATGAGATCTATTTTTGAAAAATAATAATTAAGAGATGTAAAAAAATATTTTAACAATGAAATCTTAATTTTAACATTTGAATTGATTTGAGAAAAATGTTAGATCTACAAATCTCCAGCAGATGAAACTTCTGTTTTTTTTATTTTTACATATCCAATATTGGTATCATATGAAAGATTAAAAAGATTTGAATTTTGACATATTTTTTATACAAATTAGAATATAAATAAAAAAATTATAACACTTTAAAGAAAAAAATATTAATTTCACATGGATCAAATGGTCTCTTGCATTTGATTTTTTTAACTGTATATATCCATGACTGGTGTAATATGAAAGATCGCAAAAAGTTATGAATTTTGATATATTATTTGTAAAATTCAGAGTAAAAATTAATGAGATAAAACAATTTAAAGAAAATTAAGATTTTAATTTTGTTGGGACCCATTGTCAATTGCTTCCTTGTTCAAGGCATGCTACCGAAATCTTTCCTCTCTCCAAGAGTCAATAGGGGTAGCACACATCTATCCATGAGTTTCCCCAATCCACTTTAGCACTTAGGTATACATTTTTTTAATTGAATTGGAACACATTTGAGGGTGAATACCTCACATTTGTGCTTTTCACCCATACCCATTGCAATTTGCAATGCGAACAGCGTAATGATTTATTTGTATGAAAAGAATAAAAAAATGGACGAACACAAACATTTATTTATTTATTTATTTATTTATTTATTTATTTATTTATTTATTTATTTATTTATTTATTTATTTATAGTCCATAATACTACGTACTTGTACAATACTACGTAGTACGTATTCACTTGCAATCGTGTACTACACTACACCTACCCTGCTGCCCGAGTGGCAATTGGCATGCATTATCCTGGAGGACACGCGTCCTCTGCACATCAGCTCTCATAGTGAACCTCACCTGCCTCGCTGAAGTTTCATCAGGACTCCGAACCAAAATGACAGAAACCAACTGTGAAGTTGAAGTGATCCATTCATGGTCTGCACCAAGGTCTCTCAGTACTTGCCTTATGTATTCCTTCGCACAGGTCTCTTTCTCTCTCTTCTTTTTATGAGTGGATTTTGTCGTCCCACTAACATTGGTTGATTGATTATTAAGAAAAATGAGATTATTTGGTTGATTTTCAATTGATGAACTAAAAATAAAGTGAGAAGGATTTTACAACTAGACAATAATTACCAAATTTGTGGGACGAAGGAGGAGAAATGTTATCATAGGAGTAGATATATGTTTGTGGTGCTGCCAGCGTTGAATTAAGCTGTGCCCTTAATTATGCATGATTATCATCATTATTTTTCCTTTTTGTACCCCCGTTTTTTGTTTGTAGAGGGACGATATTGAAGTTCTCGATGAGCCGTTGTATGCAAATTTTCTCAAAGTAACTGGAGCAGAGAGGCCCTACAGGGATGAAGTTCTTTCGAATATGGTAAGTCATTGATCATGGATGCTTATAGCCTCTTCTGTTTCTTGCTAGTTGCCATTGCCATTTATTTAGAAACTGTTTATGCATTTCTTTACTGAGTGAAAATTATTGGACTGGCATCCATCCTTTTCTGTTGGCAAGAGGGTTTGCGTGAATTGGCATGATCAACTTTTCTATCTGCCTAACGTTTCTTAAAGTGAATCACAATTTGTTAAGTGGAGCTGTTTTAAACAAACGTATAGACTAGGAATTCAGGTGACATCAATATTGCATCATTGCCATGTAATTTAGTCTTGCCAATGTGAAGTAAAAGCTTCATCGAAATGTCTGATTTCTTCCAGATGTAAAATTATATTCACATTTTCTTTAACCCAAAATCAAGAATGGATTTCATTGAAGAGGTCCAACATATCTATTTATATACTATAACACTAAATGATTGTTTGCGAGCTTTTCCATAAACAGTTAAATTTTTGTTGTTACCTATATCGATACTATGAGCTCATGATCTGAAATTGATAGGAATGTGATGGAAATAAAGTGGTCAAGGATATTATTTTTGGTCCAGGAGAAAAGAAATACCGGTACTGTAAGGTAATCTAGTCAATTTATGTGATATAACTCCTTCAGTCTTTATTATAAGGAACAATTTTAGTTTTCACAGTGACCAATGAAATATTTATAATCATTAAAAATAATCTCCACTGCCCTAATATGCCACTAAACAATTTTATAAGGAATGTTTACAGTTTCAGGAGGGACAGTTGTGGAAGAAAAGTATTAAGTGTGCATCGCTAGTATGAAAGTGACTTAAAAGCCTGCCTTACATTTAGGATCAGAGAGAGGATACTAATTTGACCTGAAATTATCATAATCATCTGCGTTGTGCTGAAAAAATGATTAGACTTAGTTAAATTGGCCTCAATGTTATTTTATTTATATTGGGTGGGAGAGGAAATATAAATGCATATATAGTGCCATGTAATAAAAACAGTATGCAGTAATTGTTGACACACCTTTAAGCTTATCAGTTTAAAGCATATACGAGAGATTCCAGAAGGAGTTTTTGCCACTTTTGGTCCCCCGACTATTGTGTCAGTGCACATTCGGTACTCGACTTTTATTTTTTCCAATTTTAGTCCTCGACTATTGTGCTAGAGACACTTTTATTTATCCACTTCCATGTTTTCCACATTTAGTCCCCGCAGTGTTACCAAATTTACACTTTTAGTCCTTCCACTATGATTTTAACACAATAAGTGGAGGCTTAAAAATGTCACTATTATAATAGTTGAACGACCATAAGTGTCACTTTTATGAAAGTCAAAGGACTAAATATGGAAATTTTCAAAGACGGGTACCAAAAGTATCTTTCGCACAATAGTTGAAGGACTAAAAGTAGAAAAATTCAAAGTCGAGTATCAAAAGTGTCAGTCACATAATAGTCAGAGGACTAAAAGTGGCAAAAACTCTTCCAGAAGACTTCTTTGACAATTAGAGTAAAAGCCTAATTTAGTTTAATTATAGCAATGCAATGGAAAACTTATGGGTTCTAATTCCAATTTGTGTGTAGGTCATTAGTTTGGTTATTATCAAGTATCCTCACTAGGTATAGAGTTCCGCCTCACTAGGAATAGGGTTTATGATCGAACATTGATGGCCTAGGCTCATACTTATTTGACTTGTATTGTTTTGTATTAACTTCCATGTTCCCTTTGCAGCATATGGCTAAACAACACTTGCCTGGTTTGACAGATGAGTTAATTAAGAGAGGAAAACACTTTTTACTCATCCGCAATCCCCTCGAGATATTGGTATCTTTTCTGTCTTTCTTTAAATGCTTATGATTGCACATATAGCTCAATAGTTGTATACATCAAGATCTGTATTGAGTTTGTTCAGCTTTTGATAACTAGTACTCCCTCCTCTAAATCTTATTCCTCTTTTTTTTTCTAGTTTCCAAAGTTCTCATCCTATTTATTTTAGACAAATGAAACCATTTAACTTTATTTATTTTCCCTACCTTTTACCCTTTTCTCTCTTTCCACTTGGGGTGGCCCACATTCCTAGTAATTCCTCTTTCCTACTTAAGTCCTAGCTTATTGTGTGTGAGCTGCACTACTATGTTTGGTTAGACATTTTATTTTAGAGGGTAGTTTATAGGTATGATAACTATATTCTCCATTGCTTAAAACAACGCAATAAACATTACATAAAAAGAATGTATGTAATATTGGTTACACCCAAAACCAACGGACCTGTTTCTCTCTCTTGTGCCTACATCCTCTTCGTCTAACTCGACATCTTGTAAAGATGGAAAATGTTTTTGATGCATTCTTTGGGTATATTCTTATTTAGCATGACTGCATGAGTGTATTGGATAATGAAAACTAAAACAACTTTTTCATTATCTAATCGAATGCACTAAAAAGTGTACAAGATCTTCATTCAAAAAAGAATAGGAAAAAATACATTAAGAAGAATAAGAAAACAAGAAAAAACGCAAATGATGAACATAGACATAAAATAATGGGAAATATATAAACAAATAAATTGAATAAACATAAAAAACATAGAAGTATAAAATATAAAAAAGTGAAAGTAAAATAGAGAACCTAAAAAGTAATATATCGCATAAAGATGTATCAAAATGTAAACGCTGCTACTTGTAGATACATAAATAACAAAAGTTAGCAATGAAATGTAGATTCCTTTCCGTTACATTGCATTTTGAATTTCATTATATGTCCCGTTAACATTCCATAGAATTACATCTAGCCAAACGGCTCTTAATACTTTACAATGCCTACCCTAGCTTTTGAAATCACACTCATTGCATCTCGAATTTGTTTTGCTGTATCTTGCCTTTATCCGTTTTGCTGATTTACATTTCATATGTTGTGTTGCCAGCCATCTTTTGATGAGGTTGTCTCCCCATCATTTCTTGAGTTAGGACTGGGAGAACTTGTCTCTATATATGCTGAGCTATCCAGACTTGGAAAGCCCCCACCTGTCATTGATGCTGCAGATCTTCGAACTGATCCTGAGGTTTTGTTTTCACTCACAAAGTGTTCAAGTCTACTATATATTCCATGTCTCTTTCTTTGCTTTGACCTTAGTTTCAGACGTTACTTGTTGAACTCATCTCTACCCATTTTCTAATCATGAGACAACAATTGCATGTATGTTAATCAAATGCTCTGCACTTTCTCCTATTTTATAGGTTCGAATTTATCTGAATAAGGTCTAACACAAATGCTTTTGTTAATAACCTTTGAGTTTCATAAGAGGGAGAAAAGAATCTTGTGGAGATTGTTTTCGGTTTAAACCTAATAAAATCTTATGGCATTTCTAAACATGATATTTGAGTGAAAAAATAATTTACTCCGCTCATGACTTCTCAAGTTAAAAAATGACTATCTTTATGAAGAGGTTTATATGGAACATACACATGAGTTTGTTGCTCGGGGTCTGATATAATATGTATTCTCTTTATGGTTATATGTGCGAGCATGGTTTCGTTAGCCAGTTCTATGGTACGCGAATTTGGCATGGTCCATATTGATTTCGATTATTGTGTTTTCAATTGACACTCACAACATTGGAAATATATATACTGATTGGTTTGAACTTGCAAGTATATAAATGTCAATTGTAGTATAAATACCGGTAAAATATCTGGTCGATTATGGGAAAACATTTTATTTTATAAAGTCCGGTGTTTAGAAAATAATGTATAAAATGATACTAATGTGCGGGAATTTTTCTTGAAGGCATGATTATATTAATAAAACGACCAAGGCATCGGTATTTCACCTAAACGTTCACTAGAGTTTAATGTTAGTTCTTTGCCCAATTCTTATGAGTATGATTTCGCTATTATATACTCGGCTCCGATTAAGGCAGTGAGAACGTGGTTCTATGTCTTTGTGTTAGTGGCTTAGTGCACACATGCTAGCTTAGTTTTTAAGTCATAAACTTTTATATTTATCATTTACCTATTAGGCTATTACAGTAATTATTGCTGTATTAACGGCAATGTGCAAAACTAATAAATGGACAATGAGTGTGTTATTACTTATAGAATTTATTAACCAAATGGTATTTCCTTTCCTAGCTTGCAGTCATTCTTATATATCTTGTATTGTATTTTATATGTAATTTTCTTGTCTCAATGGATTGCACATCCCAAACTTTGGTCATTAAATAGCTTGGCCGGTTTTGTAATCTTCAGGCTACCTTGCGCGGCCTTTGTGAAGATCTTGGCATACCTTTTCAATCTGCAATGCTTAAGTAAGCTCTGTCATCTTGGATTGTTCAAGTCATGTTTCTGCAGTTTGCCTTATTATTTCTTGTTATCTAAAATCAAAGTTTAAGACGCGTTAAGGTCTTCATTTTTGTTCCTAATGGGAGGAAAGAGCAGAAACTTTGCATAATTATGTTAGTGACAACTGTAAAATTTGTGATCAAGATACAATGCATTGTATTTACAATGTATTTACATTTTTGGAATGAAGGGTACAGGAAAACCCAAAAAGACGGAAAACTTTTTTCTCCCATGTCAAATCTCCCATGAGATGATGATGATGATGTCAAATCTCCCAAATTTTTAGTCTTTTCTTCGCAGGTCATATCTCCCACATCTTCTGACACCATTTGCAGTCTGTGCCATAGTTCCCTACCTTTTCCATGATGTGGTCCACAACTTCGTTCTGCACCCTATATGCATCATTCTTAACTCCCACGGCTTCCTTATTTCCTGTCTGTGTGTCTCGATGATACACTGCATAGGACCAAACGGATACCCGTTCCTCTAACCCATTCCACCACCTCCTTAGAATCAAGTTGAATCATTACCCACTTACATTCTTTCTGGCTTTCTGTCGTACCCAACATAATCTTGTAGGGGAGTCCAGCCTCCTTCTTCTTGAAGGTCTTATATAAGTATAAGTTTTGCGTTTCTGTTTGTTCTCTTCTTGATGGATAAAATTGTTGTTGAACTATTGTGGCATATAATAGATTGAATAGAGAAAAGTGATAAATAATAAAGTGGGGAGGGTTGAACTACCTAACAACAAACCCCCATTACTAGTGCCTTGGCAATGAGTAGGTTAGCAGGCTACCAAGTTCTCTTTGAAGTTAGAAGTGGAAGCACTCTGAAAGTTCAAGCACCACCCGACACCTACTAATGGTAGACCTAGAGATAGACTGAGATAGTTGTAACATACATTTGCAGTGAGGTGGTATGAAGAGACATATGACCAACTTCCCATAATTTACCAAGAGCTATAGAATATGCTCTTAATTTCTCATACTTGCTGCCGTTGCTGGGGAGTTGAAACTTACAAGTGAAATGTTAGCATATTAGCGACATCTCTTGCGTGTATGCTTCTAGCTGTTAGTTACTCCTTCCATCCCATTTTGGTTGTCTTACTTTCCTTATTGGGTTGTCCCAAAATGGATGTCATGTTTCCCGTTTTGGTAATAGATTTGTGGTCCATATCATTTCACTTCATTCTACTCAAATCTCAACCACAACTTTTACTTTTCAACCACTTTATTAATATCAGTGCCAAATTGAAATGAGACAACCATTATGGGATGGAGGTAGTATTATTTTATGGATGCACAATCATGTTCTATGGTATGCATGTTGGTATTACAATATCAATTTTGCAAGTTGGCATGACTATATCAACTACTTCTACTAATCATCATGTGTGATAGTTTTCCATGCAAGTGACAATCTATGGTGATAATGTTGGAATTTCATTATACTGTTCATTCTTTTGAAGTTATCACATGAAGGACATCTGACATAAAATTTAATCATTATGCTTTCTGCATGAGTTTATAGTGTTGACTATCTTTAGACAATTAATTGACTAAATTCAGGTGATGATTGTCTGTTTGCATTTCATGTTAAATGTTGGTGTAACTAAATTTTATGACTAACTTGGGTTTTGGAGTAAACACTAGTAGTGTATGTCTTGGTAGAGTTTTACTAAATTTTTCATTAAACCCTATTTTTTAGCTAGTGATCCCAAATCTTGTCGAGTATAGGATTACAGTGGTTGGTTTTAAGTTATTGTGATATTGTTACCATATGTTTTCAATTGGTGCTGACTATTAACATCATTATTTCCAGATGGGAAGAAGGGCCAAAAGCATATGATGGAATTTGGGCCCCATGGTGGTATAAAGCCGCACATAAGGCAACATGTTTCGTTCCATCTAGAAAGTATCCATTGGTACGCCTACTGATTTTTGGTTAAGGAAGTACACAGTGTGTGATGAACAACCATCTCATTTAGAGGTGGATAATTTTTTACTTTGGTCTGTATATAAATGCCTTGATGGAAAAGAACGTTCTATCATGTGGGCATCTTAGTTGTGACTTGTGAGTTTGTATTTTCTAGTGTCTCTGTATGTAACCGAACTGCCTTAACAATTCTTTGGTGGAAAGTGGGAGGTAGGGGAACAGAGGTCACATCATTAATGATGAATGCAATGGATTTATTCTTTTGACATATGTTAGGGATATTTAGTTAGATAAATTTCTATATTTATTTAAGGGAATGACAATTGGTTATTTTGTATTCATTTATAATGACATGCTGCTTTCTCTTTTAAAGGAGAACAATATTTTTTGCTACAAGACTGCACATCATCATACATTTGGTTGCATTTTTTAGCAAGGCGGAACTGTGATATAAATTATAAGCATAAACAGATGCATTGGCCACTTGGTCTATTGAAATATATTGATATTTACCCAATTCCCATTATTTTCATATGTAGTGTACTTGTTGGGATACATAGCCACGTGGGTTGCATGCTCTTGCATGAGCCATGCATAGTGTTTTTGTTTCTTATCATATGTATTACATTATATATACCCTGCGAGAGGTTTAATAAACACAACAATATACCTTCTGATATTAGAATTCTCTCTTCAAATAGTCTCATAAATTGATAACTACTATCAATTTTATCATAGTCCAAATTTATAATAAAGCCGATATGTGATTTATGCTTACCCGATGCTCCTTACCGACAAAATACACAACCTTAATCTCATATCAATGGGATTCAATATATGAATGTAGTGATTTCCTTTCAATGAACAAGCAGTTTGTCCACAATTCAATGTTCCTTATATTAATAGAAGAGATTGTCTTAATCCAATATTCCTTTCCAAATGTCTTCAGCCATTTCCATTGTCTTTGTATGATATGTTGGAGCAAAGCTTGCCTTTATATAACATCCTTCGGCGTCATTCAAGAAGGACTTTGCCTCTTCCTAAGATTCCTATTCCGGCTAATGAAAAGCTTCTTGCATGGGTTGGAGATGAAATTTTGCCTCGTGAGAATGCAAAGGTAACTTAATGTTGTTGTTATAATGATATTATATCTTTGAAGGCGGGATGAAAAATGAGTTCCCCTTTTAATCATTTGCAATGTAGCCAAAGACTCGCTATTTTTTGGCTTGGGAATATGATGGAATAAAGCAAAATGGCTCACTAAACTGTCTACGCTTCTTTGTTATGAAGCAACAGTCGATCCATGTAATTTTCGACGCGATTTTCACTATGGGTCATCTGGAAACAGTCTCTCCCTACCTTAGTACAGGGTAAGACTGCGTACATCCGACCCCTCCTTACCCCACCAAAGGCGAGAGCCTTTGCGGAACTGGGGTGATGATGGTGATGATGATGATGAGGTGTTAGCACTGATTTTGTGAGGTGAGATTTTAAACTTTGGAATTTAAACTTTCACTTCTGACACTACCATGTTATTTCAAGGTCTCTGTGTTTGATTCCGTTGTCCAAGGTGGTGATGCAGTCTGGGAAGGACTTCGAGTGTATTCTGGGAAGATATTAAAGCTTGAAGATCATTTAGATCGGTTTGTGGAATTATTTCTCATTATATTTTAAATTGCTGTATTTCGCCACTTGCTATCAATTTCCAAAATATTCAAATATTAGATATTGATCACCTGCCTTTTTTATCCAAACAAGTTCACAATCCTTTCAGAAGGTAAATACTCTTGCACTTTTGAAAACTGTGAGAATTTTATGATTTGACATGATGTCTAAACTTTTCTACCCAAAACATGGGTTTGGGGGAACTGATTATTAACATTAAATTATCAAGGTGAGACATGTCTACGTACTTGTAATATGCATGCTTTCTTTATTGGTGTGGTGCTTGAAAGGAGAAAAATCACAATATTCTTTAGGTAGCTTTTTGCACTATTTATCTTGGCCTTTTTAATTCTTGTTGCATTACGTAATTTTATTAGTTTTTGTTTAATGATGTTTATCAGTTGTTAGCATAGAACATTCAAGGGTGTTTTTTGTACATTTTATTATAGCTGAAAGGTCAACACGCTAACACATGTCATTGACTGATATTCTATTATTTTCTTAGGTTGTTTGACTCAGCAAAAGCCTTAGCTTTCTCTAGTGTACCAACCCGTGAAATGGTAATGTGTCCATTCCCACTTTCAACTTATTCTTCTAGGAAGAAATCATTAATGTTTATAGAAATTGCTCTAAATAGGAGCAAAAATATTTTGAAATTCCAAAATAGGAGTATCATGTTTTTTATTTCCTGAATAGGAGTAATCTGCCAAGTTTGGAAAAAAATGCCATGTTTTAAAGTCTAGTAATGCCAAACTTGGCAAAAATTTACTCCTATTCAAGGAATAAAAAACATGATAGTCCTATTTTGGAATTTCAAAACTTTTTTACTCCTATTTAGGGAATTCACCCTAATTTTTATGACATTATCATAGCTTATCCTGCACTGTCAAGTACTATAGTATCTGTAAATTGTAAAATGTAAAAAGCAGTACCACATATTTATATGCATAAACTATTTAAATTTAGTACAAAGAAACATATGCAGATCAAGGATGCCATATTCAAGACTCTTATAAGCAATGGAATGTTTGACAATGTACATATACGACTAACTCTAACGCGTGGCAAGAAGGTATATCCTCTTATCCTATCTCCTCTCATTTGAGATTTGAATACTCGATCTGCAATGCTATCTGCAGACACAATTCTACACACAACTAATGTCTTGCTTCAGGAGCTACGTAAAACCATAGAAACTAATGTCTTGCATCAGGAGCTTCTCTTCATCATGCCAAACCCTTTTGTTTTTATTTTGTCTCAGGTCACAAATCTTACTAGGGATAAAAAGGCTTAATTCACTTACTAACAATTCAAAATTCTGTATTATGTAATTGGCAAAATAAATTGAAGGGTTGAAACTTTTTTATTTCAAAACTAAACTAAACCTCCAGAGGTTAAAAACATAAGAAATGAAATTTGAAAATTATATGAATTTGTTAGAAAGAAAAGGTTTTGTGACCATTTAATAATAAATGTGGCTTGTAAATTAGACATAGAGGGAGTATAATAAATTAAAACCTCATCATATATTTTCATTCCCATCTATCTTCTACATTACAATATTACTAACTCTAATGTGTAAACAATTTAATATATTAATAATCAAAGTGAGATGTGAGCCACTATGAAAAACTCTTCTCAGGATGCTTCTTTGTTAAGTGTTAATGATAACTCACCACATATTTGTTCATGTTACTAAAAATGGATAAAAACTAATATATACACACACACACACACACACACACACACACATATACTTGTGTTATTCTTATCAGATTGATCTTTCAAGATAAAGAGCCCGCTTGGTAACCCCGTTTTCGAACTTATCAACCAATTTTTTACCAAGCTCTATTTTTCCCCGAAATAATTCCAAATATATAACCAAAATAAGAGTAGTGGACAAACAAGTGACCCTGGTAACTTTAGTGACTATAAATGTATTCAAATGTTATATCATAGTACTATAAATGTATTCAAATGTTACATCATAGTGACTATAAAACTTACTCACAGTAACTTATAGTCACATTTTTGTCCATAAATTTTTTAGTGGTAATATTTCAGCAAAAAACTCTTTTTTTTTCGCGTGCTGAATTGTGTAATAATAAGAAAAGTAAGGATGAAGATGCTGAAGAGATAATTTAGCTTTTCTCCCTATAATTTTTCCTTTGTTTATTAATAATATATATTTTAAATCTATTTTTTCTTAATTTAGCATATTCAGCAAATTCCGGCGTGACCAAATGGGCTCAAAATCTCTAAATCATATCATGGACATATGGTATAAGAGCTACGTCCAACATGTGTAACTAGGTGTGGGTCCCCATAAAAAAATTGTAGAGGCATGTGTCTTGTTGTGTGGGGATTATTGAATAATGTCTCACATCAGCTAAATATAGATCATTGAACCTTTTTAAAGTGTTGGCGCCTTAAGGCCTCCAGCAAATATTTTAGTACTTGACTTTGCGAATCCAGATTGTATATAATACTGTAGTTCTTATGAAATATGTACAGATAGCTATGATTTGATAGTTCGATTGTCATATTTTGTCTATTAGGTATCTTCAGGAATGACCCCTGCTTTAAACCTTTATGGATGTACTTTAATTGGTAAGGTGCTTGTTTTTTTCCAACGTATAAATGTCTTGGTATCTATTTTTTGTTATCTTCATGATAATCAAATGCTTATTAGTGTTTCTCCTAGCATGAAAATGACTAAATCTTACAGTTGTTCTTCCTCGAGTAAGATTTTATGGCTACATTAGTGGACGGGTACACCTATAGTGTATTTATTTTCCGCTATAGAACCTTGTGGAGGGGAACTATTCATAAGAATATAAAGAACTGTAACCAAATACAAAAATAAAGGACTCGAGCAAACATGATATACAAATTCTCATTAACCGATAATTCAAAGTTACTGTGAATGAGCCATTGAGGCAAATGAAATCTAAATAATGAAAGTGCTTAGTTTATGTAAATAACAATGGATTGTCATTCATCAAGGCAATGGATCATGGATCTCTGTTATGCTGTGCAGTGTATTACGTAGTATAATTTTTGCTTAACGAGATTCCTTTTATCATTAAATCATTGAATATAGACTTGTTGGGCACGTTCTTGACTCCAAATTCTTCCTTAAAATAGTTAAAAGATATCTGAGCCATCTGATGCAAAACCTTGGCAGCTCTATTTGCAGAAAAAACTCAAAACTTGAAGGAACAATCTAAGCTATGAATGAATAAATGGAATGTTCCCTATTTTTCAATAAGTGGCTACTGGCTAGTATTTGAGTTTATGTTCAACCATACTCTTATTTGTGTCTCTGATTCTTTCAGTTCTTCCTGAATGGAAACCACCTGTCTATGACAATGCAAAAGGCATCTCATTGGTGACAGCAACCACTAGGCGTAATTCTCCAAATGTGAGATATGCATTTTTTTTGTACATGAGATATGCATGCTACTTCAAATGATGATTTTCATAGATGAACGCTTTTGGATTTTTTATGTATTTCATTTGAGAAAAAAAAGTGGTGATGTAGTCTAGGCCTCATTAAAATCATGTTAGAGAGGGGAACTATAGCTATCTCCAAATATTTGTATTCTATTCATTTAGTCTTATTAGATATGCTGTTAAGGGCTTGCCTAGTTATTTACAACTTGTTACAACTTACAATGCTCCCAATTGTATGTTATTCAAAAAGTCATGTTAGATCAAGATACAACTTTAAATTTTGGCCAAATGTAGGAGAACTAAAACTGTACCAGAGGTATAACTGGGAAACTAAAAGTGTCAAATCTTCCCTCTTAATAATAATTTGAACTCTTAAATTTGACTGTACTCACTATGATTGTTATTCTAATGAAATCTGGCATTGATTTATGAAATCAAAATGTCATTGACATGGCATACTTACTAAATACAACACATGATTATAGATTCAAAGTAATGCATCAATCGTTTACTATGATACTCCTGTTATGGTTACTCCTTTAGGCTCAATATATGGAAGAATCATATATAATCATGTTATATGCGAGTGAGAAGACCCTCTCTTACTCCTTGTGTAATTGTTAACTTTGTCTTCCATCACAGAATTTGGATTCAAAGATTCACCATAACAACCTTCTCAATAACATTCTTGCTAAGGTATCTTTCTCATGCTGTGATAGTTATGTATCTGCCATGATAGTGCTATATTTACATCCTTGTTGAGTAAAGTAGGTTGGGGTTGGGGAGTCTTCTTTTCATTTTTTAGTGGAAATTGTTGCCGTCCAGAACTCCAGATGTGGATTCCTAATGTTTTCTAATAGATATCGACCCTCAATAGACAATTCCCCCATTATAATTGTTGGTTGATTATAAGTGTTGGGTTCATAGTAAATCATTTAGTGAAAGTATGCTGAGATTTGAGGGAGGCAGATAAGAGTTGGTATGGAGATATGCAATAGACACTAAGGGGTTGTTTACTTTTTTTCTCATTAAGTCCTGAATGGATTAAAACGTCTGTCTGCATTAAGCTTTCTGTCTGGATTAAGTTACACTGAGATAACAACCTGTTTCCTAAGTGTGCTGAATGAGAAGTCTGAATCATGTCTAATTACCAAATAGGACTTCACCAAAAAGATTCAACCGTTTCACCCATATAACTCATACCATATGGGCTCAAATATTTACTCATTAAAACACTCTTAACCATTGGTATAATATAACTAGACCTCTCACACGGTATACTTTCATAGTGAGCACTACCACTCTACAACAAATAAACTACAAAGATTATTGCATTACTGCTCTAAAAATTTAACATGGCAGTATTATTAAGCGAAAAGGTAGTTCAAGTGACTAACCAATATTTCATCTTTAGATATCAACCAGACAGATTATATCATCAATCGCCATTGGTTGTGCTTCAATTAGTAGAACTCACTTCTGATTTTCTTTATGGAATATAATCGAACGAATAACAGCATAAAACAATGCAAACTAATTCTGAAATTCCATATTTACAACACGGAAAAGGTAATTGAAACACACTGAATACATTAGGAAACTGGCCCCGTTTTGATGTGCTCTTTCAACCACCTTGGAAGGGGACGAGTAGCTATCACTGTGCAATTCAAACACAAATTTCTCCTTGCGCTGATGCCATGGCACCAGAAAATCATCATCAAGAAAGACAAGAATCTTACGGGGCCTCCTCTGGTCCAGGAAAACCCATTTACTGATAGAGTTGTAAGCGGAAGACTGTTCAGAGGTCATCTTCCTCTTACTACCCCCTCTCTTCTTCTTCTTGCTCTTCCTGGAGCCGTTGCCACTTCAAGCTTTCTTTGGAATTTCTTTATCACCCATCATGACTATTTGTGTTAGCGTCTGGTACACATAGAAAAGTGAGAAGAGAAAAAAGAGGATTTTTTATCGTGAGAGATATTGCAGATCAGGTGGAGGTTTCGATTATTTTTACTTCGAGAGAAGATTACCAGCGATTGATGGTGCTCTGCTGCCTCTGTTTGCCTATGACGATGAGAAACTCATCCAAAGGGCGAAAGGTTATCCAGGGTTAAAATAGAGAAGGTTTGATCAGTCCCGTGTCTGAATCGGAAGGAGTATAGTTTTGTAGCTGAACGAATAAGTTGAGATTTGTCTCAGCTAATAAGTTATCTTTTTTGTTAAGTTGTAAGTAAACACACCTTTATAACTAAATGGTTAAGTCCTCACCCCATTAAGTTCATTAAGTCCTAGGTAAACAACCCCTAACCCTTTGTTTGGTTGAAACGAAGGGAAGAGGAAAAAGGGGATAGAGAGGAGGGGGGAAATGACACTTTAAAAAAGAATATCTTATGTTCGGTCCAATGGAAGAGTGAGGATGTTTTTACTTGGGCTTATTTCAGTTCCAGGTCAGATTAGATCAAAATTAAATAGACCAGACCAGATCAAACTTTAACGGATCATACCAGACTTTGATAGATGTAAAATACACATAGATCGGACATTCAGACATTTACCAGGCCAGTTCAGACCAGACCAAACCAGATTTAGAAGACCAGGCCAGAAAATTTATGTTCAATTAAAAATATCTTGAGAAGGATTTAGTATTTTATATAAGCAAGATAAAATATTATATTCAATGTATTTTTTGTTGAAAATACAAATGTAAAAAAGGATCTCGCCTCCGAAGTCCTCCAACCCAAAAAAGATCAAATTAACCGCATGTAATATGTTCCTGCTTTTAAAGTGATGCTATATTTTTAGTTGACTTTTGCTTTCAGATAGAAGGAAATAATGCAGAAGCTGATGATGCTATCATGCTGGATAAAGATGGCTATGTGTCGGAGACAAATGCTACTAACATTGTTAGTATTTCAGTTTTCATTCCACAATTTTAGTTTTGACGATACACACTGGAGGCAGCGTATGTTGAATTTTTTGTGTTTGCTTCATATGCCTTAAGTGAATTGGTTAATGTTTCGTGCTGCTCATTCTATTAACATGCATAATCTGACGGACCATCTCCCCCCCCCCCCCCCCCCCCCCCAATAAGCAAATTACTTATTTTGTTGTATTATAGCTTTACTTTGTGAGGGTGCGGTTGTTATTGTGAGGGTGAGAAGTGTCAATGTCAGGTAAAACTGTATTTTACTATTCCCTCCGTCCTGTTGAAAGGTTCCCACTTTCCTTATTTGGGTGTCCCATTTAAAGGTTCCCATTCCATGTTTGAAATAATTTACTCTCTTTAATTACACCTTCACTCAAATTTTTCTTTCCTACTCATTACATGTCAAGTCTCACAATTTCCCCTCCCCCAACTTATCTCCCTTTAATTACTTTCACTTTATATGTTTACTTTTTCTAAATTTTCTCTTTCCTCTCTTTTTTATCCAAATCACTTTATTTAACCACTTGCCTAAAAAATCATGCCATTTACTCACGGGACGGGAACCTTCCAACGGGACGGAGGGAGTTTTATTTATGTCTTTTTTCTGCTTTCAATAAGTATAAAGATTAGTATCAGTACACCAAATTGCTCTAAATTTCTTCTTACCTGTCTAGTGTTTTGCATAATTGCATCCATTTCCCACTTTTGATAAATGACATTGTCCCTAGTCCTCGTTGGACACAGTCTACTTCCAACAACCATTTTTTGGGTTGGGGTGTATTCCACCTTATTCGTATTCAAACAATGCAGTTCTTGGTGAAGAAAGGCCGTGTTGCAACACCTCATGCCGACTTTTGCCTTCCAGGCATCACAAGAGCAACTGTATGTTATTACTTATTGCATCTTTTGATGTTTGTAGCTTACGATAAAGCTGGGAGTTCCCATCAAAGTGCATTGTTCTTGAAAAAATAGCTGCAGTATTGGTATAATTATCATGAAAAAAGAAGTATAAAGGGCTCTTGCATGGCTGAAGAATTTACTAAATTTGGTCGTTCACTGTTCCAAGAGTTAAAAGAGTTTTTGGACTCTTTTCATGTATAGGTCTAGAAATTTTTATTAGGGGGAATTTGACTTTGCACCCCACTTTTTGGGTGATATTAGACTTTGACTTTACACCCCATTTCACTTAAAAGTCTTTTAAGTTTGCACCCCATTCAGAATTTTTTTTTTCACAAAATGTTTATAATGGGGTGCAAAGTCAAAGTTTTTTTTAAAATGGGGTGCAAAGTCCAATATCACCCAAAAAGTGGGGTGCAAAGTCAAATCCCCCCCTTTTATTAACCTCTACACTGTTTAGAATCCTTGGAAACATCATTCATATAACTATTATGACCTTGTCAAGTATAGACCTGACAATTGTTGTCAACCACTCCAATTACGAATCCTAGGGAACATATATATTGTGCCTGAGCCTAATTATGTCAAAATGTTTTTATACTTTCCTTCCTATAACAAATTTTACTTTCTTTTAGTTGGTTAAGGTGCCAGGATTTTGTAGTTTTATATGTTTGATGAGCGTCGTAACACCTTATATATCTTATTCAACTAAATAACACATTCTTTTTGTTATTCCAGACCTTAAAAGAGGGTTTAAGTAATTAGCTGCTGTGTTTTTTTCTTGACAGCATAATGTTTTGTAGGTAATAGAGCTCGTGCGGAAGGAAAACATGGTATTTGAGGAGCGACGCATTAGTTTATCAGAGTTTCACACTGCAGATGAGGTAATAATACTTCTCTGAGAGTGCTTGGGTCATGTGATTAGCTTTTGTTGTTGCTCCGAGATCACTACCAATCAGAACCAAGGAGGGTGTAATAATATGCTTTCAAGTGTTTTTTAGGTACACGCTCCAAAATAAGCTCAATGGTGTAATGCTCCACTGGTTTTGAGAAATTATAATACCCCTAGCATATCTGACCAATTTGGCATTCTTTACCTCTTTCTTTTTTTCATTCTACTTCCAATTGATTCTATCTTTCAGTAAGAGTACTGTTTCTTTTCATTTTCATTCACTCCAAAAGAAAAGAGTACTGTTTCATTAAGGTACATTTTTTTATGGAGTATTTTATTATGGTACAACTATTGGAAATCCTAAATTCTAGCGTTATTATTAATTTTAAGTTTAGCATACTAGTATGTTTGTAACACTTTCTTTTAATTAAAAAATTCATAAATGAACAATGAAAGCTAGCTTCTTTTGTTCACATAGGATACTTTATGTTAGGTAAAGACGATGAATCTTTTTTTATGGAGGGAGTATCTCTTTTACCCTCCCTTCTAAAAAGAAATCACTTATCTTTTGCTTCATCAATCACGGGCCTCTCTATCTATGCTTCCTGTAGGTTTGGACCACTGGAACCATGGGAGAACTAACTCCGGTATGCATGCTTAGCTTTTTGCAGCATTATATGCTTATTCCTATGAACAAAGCATACAGAGCTCTTTCGAGTGATTCGACATTGGCTTTGGACCTTCTCGTTTTAAACGCCATCTTTTTATGTTACTTAAATGGATAAGGTCACCAAGATTGATGGCCGGCTTGTTGGATGTGGTCAAGTGGGCACCATAACTCTGAGACTACAACATGCTTACAGAAAGGTCACAGAAGAGACAGGGGTTCCTATACCAACATATCAGTTGACTTGAATACTGGTTCTGTAAGGTTCTATTCCTGTGTTCATTTATTTGCTTTTATTTTTTTATTTTTCAAATGACTCAAGACAACCGTAAACTATTAATGAACTCATAGCCAATTAAACCATTTCTGCAAATGTTAGATTCTCAAATGTCTATTTCCACCAATTTACTACCTCTACCTTTATAGTAATTGCTCAATCACTTTAAACGTATTCATAATTCAAGAAGCTGATTCGAATCAAACAAAATTCCTACTGAGGCATGATATTAACTAGCTACTTAATATCCATTAACTAATACTCTTTGTGTCTGAGTTTGCTGGATACACTTATCCTTTTAAACGCCACTTACTTTTTACTCCCAAAATTATATTCACTTCCCTAATTTAAACACCACTTACTTTTTACTTTCACCTTATACTTTTATTAATCTATGCTTCACCTTTTTCCTCTGCAGGCCACATTTTTCTAAAAGATTAAAGTTGTAACTAGCATCACCTTCGTTTTCTTAGTGCTTGTTCAAATGGGGGGTTTTGGAGGAGAAGGCTTTGGAGGGCTAAGTCTATATCGTCATAAATGAAAACTTTGCCAAAATGAATATAAGATGATTGAAATGTTATGTCCACATAATAGGTCAATCTTTCCATTTTTAATACGAAGTATATCAAGATATGAACTAAAGCCCTCCAAGGTCTTCCTTACCAAAAGCCCTCCAAAAACCTCGATTCATACCGAGTTTGTAAAATTGAAATGTATCTATCCTACATTCTGGGTTGGAGTCTGACCTTTGCATCAAGTGTAACAACATACTAGAATTAGTTGTACGGATGAAGTCTACATTCGCTTAAATAATGATGGAAGCACAACATAAACAAAGGAGTTCTTGGGTCCGTTCCACTGAAAATAAGAGAGAAATACCTCCGCTTTACGCGATATTTCTACAGGCATGGTTTGAGCCAAGTGCGCCTGTCACTGAAGATTAGTATCTTGCCATCATAAGGGACAACTACAGGCATCACTTTTCGTAGGGGATATCCGCAACAGTGGATTAGCCTATGATGGTTGTAGAGCAAAGATGAGGACGACAACAATGAGCATTGATTGATGCAGCAGCAGCATCAAACTATCAATGTATCAAATACTATTTGAATAAGTGTCATGATAACCTACCATGTTGTCTACATTTCTGCGGTGTAGACCTCCAACAATGTATAAGCAACTGCCAATGCTGCAAGCAACAGAAAGTACCACGTCAACTAGCTTGTGTCCAAACACAAGAAAAAATATAGTGTGTGTGTTTGATCAGACCAAACCAAATAAACTCCTTGTTTGGCGAATAAAAATTAAAATATGGCTACCATCGGAGTTTAATGATGAATGAATCATAAGAAAAAAAGGCTACTAAATGATCATCCGTAAATGTTTGTAGTTGAGGTTTAAAACATCATAACAATAACAATAATAACAATAATAATAACTAACGCTGATGACAATATTACGGGGTAATAAATCTATTAATTTGTGTATTTACGTATAATTAATGCAAAGAGAATGCCCACATTCACAACAATTCAAAGCACCCCAAAACATGACATATAGACACAACCACAAATAATTGTTTTAATCAAATTTGTTTGTTCAAAATCCATGCAAGGGGGAGCAAGGTATGAGTAGTAAACAATGTGGGTTCTTTTTCCTGCATCCATCATATACAGAATCAATATGAGTAAAGCTGAAGTCGACGATCTCTCCAAGCAGCAATCGTCCCAAGTCGTATAGGGCTGAGCAAATCCGTCAGAAAGCAACAAACACAGTACAATAGATTCAACCAACACTGCTGCAGCACCCCTTCCCCCCATCCTTGCCAATATTCGTTGTTCTTAATATCAACCTAATGAGCAAATTAAAATGTCATAAACAGCTAAACAATAGAGAGAGATTCATATATTCAACAAAAAGGGAAGTTTGTATCTTGATATATACATTGAACAAAAACATATGCCTCTGGTTTTTCTTCTCTCTTTTTCCGTGATTAATTTCATTAATTATTAATAACATAAATTAACATCAGTCTTACAACACATTGAATAGGAACAACACTCATTATATAAATGTTGTACATACATACATATTTTTTTTACTCCAGAGGGGTCTGGGGGGGCAGGAGTAATCAGGGCTGAAACTCACTCCATTGAGTTTCAAACCCTTGTGTGCCTAGCGGGTTTCGAACTCGAGACCTCCCGCTAGGCATGGTAATCTCACAATCAGCTGGGCTGGACCGCTAGGCATGGTAACCTCACAACCGCTGTACATACATATATCTGGAGGAATATTCGGGTCAGTCCGGACGGGAATTGCCATCCGGTCAAGCCTGTTTGTGGGCCTTCCGGGTCGAATATTTTGATAAAACTTTGTGAGCATGTTCTTCATGAAGTTTGGAACATTCACACAAAACTTCAGCTTAAAATTCGATTGGGAAGTCAATTAAATAAATTGTGGAAAAACACTACGAGCCTGTTTACTAACAGAGACATTTTCCAGTTTTTCAGAAAACTGAAAAACTGGAAAAAAGAAAAACGGAAACGTGTTTACCAAAAAAAATGCTGGAAAACTGGAGAAAGGAAATCAGAAAATTGTGTTTACCCAACCGTTTTCCAAAACCAAAAAATGAGATGTCTCTATTTTCCTTAATGAATTGGAGAAGTGACTTATACTAGTTTTCCAAATTTGGAAACGTGGATGCTGAGTGTCGCTGCAATGAATTTGTATACTTACGCCTAGTGTTGGATCCGGTCCCACTTCGATGTCAATTCCAGTCCGATCAATGACATGACAGTCCCTATTTGGTCTAGTCAACGACCCGCTGAGAAGTCATTCATACTTGTTCCATATGAAACAAAAACTGATCGAGCTCATGCAATAATGACATAAAAAAATTTGTGCAAAGTTATAACTAATATTTTGCAATTTAGTAAAACAAAGCTAAATGGTATCCATTTATAAAGACCTACAACATAAAGGTGAGGAAAGTTTAACATGAAATAAAATCAGATATCAAAGTTTCCCATATCAGATTTAATATTTTTATGTGAGTGTCTACATGCATTATTATTCCTATACATACCAGTTCTATACCCGTTCTTGCAACTCATACTTAATTTCATACTTTTAAAGTAACTCAATTTATCTGGACCCAAAAGACATGGCATCTTGAAATGATCTATTGAACGAGTAAAGTATGCTAGTGTGAAAATCTATAATTTTATGCTTTTATACTTTTTTATATTTATATTCTGCATCTTTTCAGAAGATTCTATATGTTAGTTTTGAATTTTATATGCTTTGATTTTTGATGTTTTATTTTTTAAAATTTATTTATTTATTTTGACATTCGTACTATCTTTATATTTCTATTTCTGTATTGTTTAAATTTATATGAATTTCTATGAAGTTTATCAATATTCTTAATTTATTTTTCAAAAATAGTCGGTCAATATGGCTGAATTGATTATGTTATTAAAGTAAGCATGCTTATATGATATACTCCGTATTTTCTAGTATAAGGACTTAAGTGAATATTCGAATCGGTACAATATCGAAGTCTATTTTACTCCGTATTGTAGTCTAACTAGGTCAAAAAGAAGAAAATGGAAATGACTCTTGTGTGAAATATTATTTTATAATGTTAACAAAATGACAATTATAATCCCAAGGTTGAATTTATGGATACTTTTGGTCCTCATGACTATTATACTACTTCCACATTTAGTCCCTTACTTTGAGATTGTCCACATTTAGTCCGTGACCATTATCCCCTCACCACCCCTCGTCCTTCCGGCCAAAATTCAGGCAAATTTAGTCCACTTATCAGCCTCAAATCAGTCTTTGCATTAAATTTTATATAAGGTTGAGTTTTTCATACAGTCTTTGCATTAAATTTGGTTTTTCATATCTAAAATATGCATTAAATTTGCCGGAATTTTGGCCGGAAGGACGAGGGGTGGTGAGAGGATAATGGTCACGGACTAAATGTGGACAATCTGAAAGTAAGGGATTAAATGTGGAAATGGTATAATAGTCACGGGACCAAAAGTGGAATTTTTTCCAACAATATATATTAAAAGAATTCAGTAAGTAGGACTAAAACTATCTAGAATTGCATAAATACTACTTCTATATTTTTAGGACTATAAATGTAATAACATGACAAAACTACCCGTAATAAAATTAGCTTTGTTGCTCACCCTAGACTCCTCCGAGGCTTGTTCATTCGACAATGGATGCCATGGCAGTGTACGCATTATGACTCAACCACCATCCAACAAGTCCACCACCGCCGCTGCCACTCGGTGAGATCCCCACCGCCACCCTCTGACTAGCCACCGCCCTCCGACCAATTCAATAACTATAAACCTCAAGTGAGAATGACATCTCCATAAGAAAAATGACATAATAATAACATTTTCATATTTAAAATATGACATTTTCAATTGTGAATTATGACAATATCATATTAAAATAAGGGCAGTTAAATATGAAAATGTAAAATATGAGAAAAAAGAAAAAGAGAAAAATCAGTAATTAAATGCTATCTTTATAAAGTGACTAGCATAAAAATGACACTATTTGCGAAACGGGCCAAAAACATGCATTTCATAATACGTATATTTTAATTTCAAAGTGATCTTGTCATTATGATATATTTGTGACATTTTTTCAATTCAGTTTTAAATAGTTATTAAAATTTCAAATTCAAAATAATAAATAAATAAAATTTCCAATAAAAAAAATTGAGCACTCCTTGCTCAAACCTTGTTTAATTCCCATCCAATTTATCAGATCTAATTGAATCTCAAGAGACAAAAACAGAGCACGACCAACTAGGGAATAAAAGAGAAAGAGGAGAGGAGACGGGAAGGGAAGGGAAGGGAAGGGAAGGGAAGAGAAGAGAAGAGAAGAGAAGAGAAGAGAAGAGAAGAGAAGAGAAGAGAAGAGAAGAGAAGAGAAGAGAGAAGGCGAAGGAGAAATCACTTGGTTCCATGGGAGATTGGAGAAGAGATGCGGTGGTTATGGTTGTGATATTGACGAGCGGTGGCTATGGTTGTGGTACCAACGAGCTTCACAATTATGGAAGCTCGGAAAATTACTTGATTGTGAATGAGTGATGTCTTCTTCGCAAATTGGCTTGGGGTCTCCTCTGCATCTGAGGTGTTGGAGTCGTAGCTTATTTTAGGGTTTAATCATTAGAAGGGTAAAAAAGTAATTAAGAGTCTTATTAAGGGAATGATAAAATTAAAGTCAATTCTATTTAGGAATTTTGGGAATGTTTTAATCCTATTTAAGACAATTCCTTTATATAGTAGCACCATATTACCATTAATGGTTGAAAAAGTAAATTTCAAAATCTTCATCATTTTGAATTGTTGAAAAAGTTACTCACTTTGGGACGTGCAAATTATTTATAAGTATTTATAAATATTTCTCCATTGATAGTCGTTATATTTACTTGTGTTTAACATAAGTATTTATAAGTATTTGTTGAAGAAAAGAAGAGAAATTGGGAAAATATCTTGAGAATGAGAGTTAGAGCATAAAACATTGTGATGAACGGCTTTTGGGACCAAAAGTATGACATTTTGTCCATCATTTGAGTATACCTTATTGTAGAGAACTCGAAATCACTCCATTCGAATTTCATGTGAATGGTAACTCAATAAGGTACAAATGTTATGAAGACATCATGGCCAGAATAGGAAAGGAACAATACTCAATCAACCGATAAAGTCAGATGTTGCTGTTAGGATTTCAGGATGCATACCTCTCAGTGTTTTATCCATATCTGTTGATTGGATGAATAAAATCACGTCATTCAAGTTTTATTGGATAGAAGACTTCATTATATACAACTTTGGTGAAGGAATGATGTCCAAATTCGTAGCGGAACATCCCCAAAATCCCGGTACAAAAACCAACACTTTTTGATCCATAAAAGGGAAAGAGAAAGGAGTACACTTTTTGGCGCAGCAACCGGCGCCGGTCATCCACAACCGGCGCCGGTCATCCACAACCGGCGCCGGTCAGGTGTTATTTTTCGACCATAATAGAGCCTATTTTGAACCGGCGCCGGTCGGGACACAACCGGGGCCGGTTGGGGCGATTTCTGCACAAAACAGGCCAACGTGCAAGAGGATTTTTTATGGGAAAAGGTCATCTTCCTCATTTCTTGATCAAATATTGCTCCACACCTGATTGTTGGGTTCGAATAGACTAAAAGATGTCATTCTTTAGCCTATATAAAGCCCTCAATTCATCATGCAAACACATTCCATTCCATAGATTAATTCTTAGCTTTTATATTTTTGTTCT